GGAACCTCAGCCACTCTGACCTGATTTCAATGATGAGATTCTGGACTTTGGGCTGATGCTATAATGCAGCGAAACTTTGGGGGATCTTGGGAATGTATTTTGCATGTGTAGGCAGCCTCTAAGATGCCTCCCACTGATTCCACCTCCTGGGAGCCCAGCTCTTTGGGTCTGGTTGGGACCTAGCTTCTAATGAATACAGTACAACATGAATGATGAGATTTCACTTCTGATATTAGGTTGTTAAAAGACGCTTGTCTCTTGACCCTTTGCTCTCTCACTGTGATGGAGGCCAGCTCCCGTGTTGGAAAGTGCCCTGTGGAGAGGCCCACATAGCAAGGGTTGATGGAGGCTTCCAGCCAATGGCCCAGAAGGAACTGAATCCTACCACTAACACAAGAGTGGATTTGGAAGCAGATCCTCCCTCATGGAACTTTGCAATGAGTGTAGCCCCTGCCATTGGAGCCCCATGAGAGACCCTGAAGCGGAGGACCTAGCTAAGCCACTCCCAGGCTGGTTCCTGACCTACAAAATTTTGTAAGATAATAAATTTTGTTTTAACTCAAGTTTGGGGCATACTTAGTCATGCAGCAATAGATTTCTAATAAACACAGAAGGAAAAGCTTATTTGTAACTACTTACTGAATACTTGGTCATACAAGTGGACAAAAGCATTCTTGATGCCATGCTTTTGTGTTTTCACTGTCACCCCCAAACATAAAAGAACTATTCTTCATCACACGTGTTTATAATGGGGTTTTTTCACAGTCACTGAAGAAAGTATGTCACCTAAGAATATGGGAATTGTCCTGGTTGTCCTTGGCTCTATACTGCATTTCCAAGTTCCTCCAAGGAGCGGTGACATGGTGAACTTCTCCGATTGACTTTACAGACTAGGGATCTCCACTTTTCATGATAGCCATTTTTACCTCTGTCATTTTTAGCTTTGCCATATAATTGAACTACATTCCTTGGTGAAACATCAGTGTTGTCATTCTGAATATGTCATTTATTGAAATATTTTTATGAATTCATTTGTGTTTCCTGAAGATACAATGATCCTTAATAGAAAATACTGGAAATGGCGATGGGGGTGGGGGGGAACAACACCTTCCATAATAGTTCAAGAAAACCATTCAAACTCGGATAGTAAAACATGAGATGAAAATTCTTGTTGAAAATAATTTCAGAGAAGTTCATTTTGGCAGCAATAAATGACAAGAAAAAATAACTAAGTTAAGCCTCAGGCACTGTTTTGTGACTTAACGTAAGATTGAGGTCTGAATATTGCATTATAAGGTACCTCAGGAGATGGAACAGGAAACCCTGATATGGCTATTCAAAAGGATAGGAAGAGTATGCAGGAGAGAATGAAGTCAGTGACAGCTGTTCAATACTTTTGTAGGACTCGTAGGACATGTAGCATGAAAGATTATTGAGCCAGAGGGGTTCAACGGGATTATCATCTTATTAGTCAAAAGAGGGTAGGATTTTGTCAGCAAGAAAAAAAGTGGAGAACTAAAGCAAATTAAAAGAACCTTGTAAGTCAAAACACTTATTTGGGCTTATAAATATCCCACTCCTTAATTCTTTCATTTGTACTATACTAGAGAATCTTTGTATGTTAGACATTTTATATCAACAGTTAGACTAAAGCATTTTACTGAAAAGTGGAGTATTTTAGAGAAGATACTTAAATTATATATTATTAGTATCTTTTATCATAAATATCTTTGAACTTATTTAATTTGTATCATCAAAGCTGGTATTCACATGATAGAAGAGAAATTTTAAGCACCCCTATACCAGCCATCACACTCTGTATTTTTATGCTGTTGAACAGTTCTTTGGATAACTTTAAAATCGAATAATATTGTTTACAGTCACATCAATTATACAGGTTATTATTTAGGAGTATCATGTACAAAAGTCACTCTCATAATCAATGCAGACCCTGTCCAAACATCCAATTAGTTAGGTTATACTTTTGTGATAATCTTTGGGGAATAGTCAGAGAGACTAAACATCTCTTACAGAGCCCTGTTTCAGCTGTCTAAATAAATCTCTCTCTTACTCTGAAGGAAAAGTCAATATTGAATATCTGATATCTTTATAATATTTTCATCTAGTTAAGTGGTCCCCTTTAGTAACTTTGGTGTCTCATAATCCTTGGAAATTTTTGCCACTCACCTACAAAATTTGAATTTAGATGCATCTAAACCCAATGTTGCCCTGTATTTTTGAATTACGAGTAAATTTATATGCTTCTTCATTAGAATATAGTGATACTCATAAAAGAGAATGCAGTCTCTGAAAACTATTCCTATGTGTAAATTAAACCTTTCATTGGATAAATGATTAGACTTGGCACACTAAACACCTTGGAATACTAATACCAGTAATAAATTGTGAATTTAGAGGGAAATAAAACAGCTTGACAATCTCCTGTTAAAATTCACATTGAGGAAATATTTATAACAAACATCCCATTTTGGCCCTATTGTTTTAATTTGGAGTATTGTGGTTTCATTTTGGGAAGTTTTAATTGAGCTCTTTTTGTTTGCCAGACAATAGTTAATAGTATTGGAGGAAAGGAAAAAAAAAAACTATTTGTTCATAGTCTCTGACATCAAGAAGCTGATCATTTTATGATGACATTTTTAAAAGTCATCATTTTTAAATTTTTAAAAATATTTTTAAAATATTTTTTTAAAAAAGTTAATTATAAACTTTAAAAAGTTAGTTATAAAATTAATATCAACATTATGTTGTAATAGAAAATTGGGGAACTGTGAATCCTATACACATACAAAAGGAAAATAAAGTTAAGTATAGTCCTACTATCCAGAGATAAACACTTTATATTTTATATCCATTTTTCTGTTAACTTTCTACATGTACTTTTCCAAAAAGATAATCATACAGTATGCTCCGTTCTGTTTTATAATCTGTTCCTTTTACTTAACATGCCATGAACATCATAAATATGTACAATTAGTACACATTCTACCACTATACCATTTTAATGCCTGAAGAAATTTTGGTTGTAGAGATTATGCCATAATTTAGTTAAAGAGCTTGGTATTAGTAAACCTTTAGGCTTGTTTCAATTTTTGTATGAGCAACAACGCAGTGAACATGTATATAATCCTTTTCTCATACATCCCTGATTATTTACTCAAGATAAATAAATAGAATTAGGATTTCTGGGTCCAAGTGTACTGAAAATGGAAAGAATATATACATACATTATACCCTCATTGATAATTTTTAAAATGTAAATTTAAAAAAAAGGAGAGTCATTTTCAGTCATTAAATTAGCAAAGATAATAACCAGTATTGGGAAAGGTTCAGGCAAATAAGCACTCTCACACTGTGATTAGAGTATATTGATGCAACATTTGGAAAGCCATTACAGAGTCTATATTGTCTTTCTATTTATGGTATACTTTAGTCAGATGCTTCTTAATGGTTTTCACATTTCTATCAGTAAGTTTATCTTTCTCATACACATTTATATTTTTATATTTATTTTCTCATATGCAGCATTACAGATATGAACATATCAAGTAAAATTTTAAAGCAAATGCATAGCCTCTCTTCATGGTCTCAATTTTCCAACCAGCTGCACATCCCCAAGCTAAACAGGATGCTTTCTTAATGGCACAGTTTTCTACCTTTGTATTGATTTGTCACTCACAAGCAGCAGCAAAACACCTATGTCATATGATGAATTCAAAACAGTAAACAAACTATTGCCCTTGAGTTTTGACCATCTTCTAACCTAACTCTTTAAGCATCAATGGGATGGTGAATTAGTTTCCAAGGGCTGCCATAACAAATTGCCATAAACATGGCGACTTAAGACAACAGAAATGTATTCTCTCCTAGTTCTGGAGGTTAGAAGTCTGAAATCAAGGTGTCAGCAAAGCTGTGATCCCCCAAAGGCTCTAAGGGACAATTGCTCCTTGTCTTTTCTCTTCCACTGATTTCTTTGCCTATTCTTAAACCAATACCATACCTATTGATTATAATGGCATAATAAAATTTTTAGTATCTGGTAAAGGAATTCCCTACTTCACTATTTTTCTTTTAAATACATCTCTTGGCTATTTTTAAGTTTTATTCTTGAATATGAACATATAGGTCATTTCGTGCAATTATAAAATGAATTATAATTGGAATCGTTTAGGTTTATATGTTAATTTGTAGAAAAATTAACATTTTTGTGGTTAGTACATGTTTCCACTCAAGAATATGGTAGTCATTTCATTTATTCAGATCTTATTGCATGAACTTTATTAATATTTTAAAGTTATTCATTATAGATTTTAAAACTTTTTATATTAATTTTAAGTATTTCATTGTTTTGTTGCTATTTTGAATAGAATGGTTTTCCATTACTAAACGTCCATTAATATATTTCTATATTTTTGAAAGACCATAAATTCTATTGGCTGCTAATAGAGATAATAAATCATAGATACTTTTAATATCTATGAGGTAATTTTTTTTTCACATTTAACTTTTCTAAGATTGGAATGTGTCTTAAAATCAAAGTGTACATTATTTGGTTTTTCTTTTCCCCACAAAAAAAATTATATTTAAAGTTGGTGGTGTGTTTTATAGACTTCTACAGATTTGAGGAAATAAGTGCACCCAGGCAATTTATATAGATGAAAGGAAGTTTGAGAATATATCTGAGAATTCTGGTGTTTTGAAGAGAGGGAGACCACGGTTTATTTATTTTTCTTTCTTTTTTGAGACAGAGTCTCACTTTGTTGCCCAGACTAGAGTGAGTGCCGTGGCGCCAGACTAGCTCACAGCAACCTCAGTCTTCTGGGCTCAAGCAATCCTACTGCCTCAGCCTCCCCAGTAGCTGGGACTATAGGGATGCGCCACCATGCCCGGCTAATTTTTTGTATATATCTTTTTAGTTGGTCAATTAATTTTTTTCTATTTTTAGTAGAGACGAGGTCTCACTCAGGTTGGTTTCAAACTCCTGACCTCAAGCAATCCGCCCGCCTTTGCCTTGCAGAGTGCTAGGATTACAGCAGTGAGCCACCACGCCCAGCAGAGACCATGGTTTCAATACTTGAGTAAACTCTAACTTCTGTGAGCTTCTTACCCTCATGTGGTTGTTTTTAAGAGTAAATGAAATGAATTAAAAGCTCTTACTACATAAAGAGCCTGGCACATAATCAGCACTCAATAAATGGGCACTGGGCAAAATCTTCCAGTAAATTCCAAGAAGCTGACAATCCCACATTATTTTAGAAATTAAAAAAAAAATTAATAATGTTTTAAAAATTTAACTGAGTGAGATAAGGCAAAACTACAAATTTGTGAGTTAGGTGGAGTGGTTACAAGGATACTCTATCATTTACTTAAATTTAAAGTCCTCATAGCCTTAGTAACTTTACTGGGCATAATCTTATAATTCTCTTAGGTTGTGTTAGGAGTGAGATTTAGTAAATGGGCATATTTATTGATTCTCCTTGACAGCCTTGGTCCACTAGGAATATAGATTGATGTGAACTTTTTATCAGTGCACCAGATATATGTATGAGTATTGAGTAGATGATTTCATTATGAAGGAATTTAATATTCCCTGGATTTAAGAAAAATGGATTGAATTTTTGTCAATAAATAATTAAAATTTATTCCCAGTGATGCTTAAAATATTATTAAAACCATTATTTTGCATGCTTTTACTCTTATTTATATTTTTGGCTGTGAGAAATGAATAAATATATGTGAGATAAGTTGGAATCTATTTTACAATCATACAACAACTTAGATATTCTTGGGTTACTTGTCAAAATTAAAGAACTTTTTAAAACTAAAACAGAAATTCCTATCAATTTCTCAAGAGAAATTATCAACCATTCTTATTTATTTTACTTATGAATTTACTATGCATGAACATTTATTAAATTAGGCTACTTTTACTTGATGATAAAGTATAATGGAAAATTTTATCTTAATATTCATAGCATATGAAACCAAGGTCTTTAAAACACAGATGAATTCAAGTTCTTGTTTAAATACTCTTTTTTGCTCTTTATTGAGCTTTATAAGAAATATCTTTGTCATTTTATACTATAATTAATTCCTGATTTCCCTCATAGATGAATCTCATACTCGAATCCTTTCTGGTTTCATTTTCATTATAATGAATTCATTGATGTCATATTAGGTCTCTGCTTTGGAAACAGTTTCAAAAATATGAAATTAAATATAGGGCACTTGCAGTTGGTTTTTGGACCCGTGATTCTTACTTTCTTAGAACCAGATTAAGTTTCTCCTCATTCATTCAGTGAAGACCTATTGATTGCCTATGCTATGAAGTCATTGTGCATTTATTTGTTCTGCCCAGCTTCCATCTTCCATTCATTTATTCAACATCTAGCCTGGCATCTCCCCCCAAAACTTGCCTCTTCTTCTCTCACCATATGATCTCTCCACACTCCAGCTCCCCTTCCCCTTCCACCATGAGTGGGAATAGCCTGAGCCCATCACCAGAAGAAGATGCTGGGGCCATGCAGATCCATGAGCCAAATAAACTTCTTTTCTTTATAAATTACCCATCTTCAGGTATTCTTTTATAGCCACACAAATAGACTAAGAGAGTGGTCTTGAAACAGTGCATTCACTGATTCATTAAATCAACATACGTTTATCACACTCTTACTATGTATTGGGCACTGATCTACATTCTGGAGATTCAGATAAATTTTAGAATCAGCTTGACAAATTCCATGAAAATTCTTGAAGATTTTTAATTGGAATTCCATTATTTGTATAATTGACACTTGTATAATATTTAGGCTTTTCATCCTGAAAAAAATGGTATATCTCTCCGCTTGAGTTTTATTTACTTCTTTAATACTTTTATAGTTTTTTGTTTATTTCATTATGTACCTTGCATGTTTCTTTTGTTGAATTTATTCCTAGATATTCTGTGAGTTTTTTGTTATTACAAATGGAATCATTTTCTGATTGGATATAACTGACTTATAAAAAGGGTATTGATTTTTGCCTGTTAAATTTTTATTCAAATTCCTTACTGAATTCTGTTACTAATTCAATAATTTAGTTGAGTCTCTTGGCCTTTGGAGTTAAAAACAGCCATATCATTTGCTAATAATGATATTTGTGTTTCCCACTTTCTTTTTACACCTCATTGCATTGGCTAAGACTGCCAATACAATTTGAATAGTAACAGGCCTGGATGAAACTTCTTTTATTTTGTGTATGTGATTTTCCAAGTCTTACAAATTTATACTCTGCTCTACTGGCTAAGAAACATATCTTTTGGGATAAAGTCAGTAATGTCCTCAATTGCTTGAATTTATAAGAAAATGAGTAATATATAAAAAAGTTAATTTATAGGCTTTATTTCACTTTTATAAAATTTTAAACCATTAAATTTTATTATTCAAATTGATTCTCTGAAAAAACTATTAATGTAACATAGACTTGCCAATTCCAAACAATAAATATTTTTTGGATTTTCCTGTTTGAAATTTACATCCTAAAATGTATCAAGCAAGTTTCAAAAATATCAGGAATAACCAAACCAAATTGGGGTATGTGTCTGAAAAGCTACAAAAATGCTAGTCTTGCATAGTTAATAATGACCCTGTGCATGTGCTACAAATAGCATTTTGCTTCCGGTTAATAACAGCTTGCCATCTAAATAGAATAATGTAAACTTTAATGAGTACTACTCTTAAAATAAATATTACTTTTATTTTCAGTGAAGTGGAAACCACTGCCATTGTCTTGCTTTTATATCTCCAATCTCTATGGAAATAAACCTGCCTAAAGGTACATCAAACAGCCATCGTGCAGTTCTAAATTCAAGGTACAGTTAACCAGACTGATCTCTGAAGAGCATATTATTATTAATCTTTAAAACATTTGGTTGGCTTAATATTATCAGACCTGCCCACAAAACTGCATAACTTTTATGAAATTTAATGTCAAAATGATAAAACTATAATGACTTTGGCATGCCCACTCTGTAAATAAGAACAAGTGATTTGATTCTAAAAAAAATACTTTATAAAGAGGAAAAGTTTCATTTTGCTCAGTTATACTCTCCTGTTACCAAGACTTTTAGAAGTCCTATGTAACTCTGAACAACCCCACATCACTTCACACATTTTAAACATATATAAATGATTGAAATATTTAGATGTGTCTTTTGAATTATATTATTAATTTTCAGTCTTATTCCTAACTACAAAGAAAAAATTACATAAAAATATTAATCATTATTTTCTCTGAGTAATGAAACTATGGGTGACTATCTTTCAATGTTTCTGTATTTTAAAATTATTTACAGTGAGCATATATTGCCTACATAATGAAAAAAGGAACCTAGTATTTTTCAGAAGTTGGTTAAAGCCAACAGGAAGTATGTTTATTAGACTAAATCTTCCCAAGGGTAGAAATTTTGCAGATATTACTGAACTTGAAACAAATCTTGTGCTCTTTCTTAGATCTCTGCCCTCCACCTCTCTTCCCTGCCTTTGGGGTGAGACTTGACCACTAGGAATCAAGAGAGAGAAGGAACTAGTAGAATAATTCCCCTGGTACAGTCTTTACCAGGAATTGCCAAAGTGGTTGTGCCATTTTATGCCTTGATCAGCAGTAAGTGTGCATGCCTGTCTCCCACATCTTCACCCACAGTTGGTCTGCTTTGCTGCAATTATCAGACCTGCTGCCTCAAAGATAGGGACCTGAGTTCGTTCACCTCTCTCTACACCCCCACACCACCCAAATGCCCATACACACTCCTTGCCCCTGTACTGTGGAGATTAGACTCATTATGTGAATGCTTGCAGCAAAGATTCGTTGCATTCATTTCATTGATTCAAAAACCATTTAGCACCTACTCTGTGCTAGATATTGGGGGACAAATGATAAAGGGAAAACAAGACAATGACAGCCTTCAGAAGGCCTCCATGCTGGTGGGACCTAGGGTAGGCTCTTAAATATCTGGTACATACCCTGTGATAAATGCCTTGGTGAAGGTATGGGGTACCTGCAGGTTTAAGCTGTCAGAAGAGAGGAAATGAAGTTGTAATCAAATCTGTCTGGGGACAAAGGATGCAGTCAAGGCAGGGTCACCAAGGAAAGGCCATCTGAGCTGGGCCTTGGAGGTGAACAGACAATTGCCTTGCCAAGTTTAGACAAAGCGTGCAGAGGGAAGCGCTTCTCGTGGTACATTCATCATATTGGGTGCATATTGCTCAGCACCCAGGAGTTCCAAACTAACACGATAGCTGCACAGAGTTCAAGAGTGGGGATTGTAAAAGGAAGAAAATGTAAAACTATATGAAAAAATAACAGAGGAAAAGATAAATAGGGAAAAGGCCCAGGAACGAGAAAGAGAGAGAAACATTTATTTTTATTATTAATACTTTCTCTGGTCATAAAATCCAAAGATGTAATCCATAATTGGAACCCTCCTTGTATCTTGTCAAAAAGGCCTCTAAGTTAATAGATAAATCAAGTAGATAAGCTAGGTTGGTAATCACAGCTGGCTGCAACCTGCAACCTGGTCTGAAGCAATGGTTTGCAGACTTTCACTGGCATAAGAATCAGCTGGAGAATTTGTTACAGGATCCCACATGAACAGAATTTAATTTTATTTTGCATCTATTGATAGGAGTGTCTCAGTGTGAAAGGGGATTTTTGAAGAGGCATACTTTGAGAACATCCGAACTCTGAAATATCATCAGCAATAATTTTTCATTTCATCAAAGGATTTGCTTCAGCCTTTCTATAAATAGCTGCTTTCACTTGAGCAGTTATGATAAATAACCCAAATTTGATTAACTCTATCATTTTTAAGAACATACACACCTATTAGATACAATACCTGTAATTACACTGTGAGCTGGAATCTTCCAGAAGATTGGACAGTATCTCTGTTGTGTTTTGTTTTATGCTTTATGAAATTATAACATGCATTGAGAAAAGTGCACATAAATGTACTGCTAGATGCATGTCCATAAGCTGAACACACATATGTTACCAGCACCCAGATGAAGAAACAGGATACTCTTCCTCTGTGTCTCCCTCCAGTTGCCAACCTCTGCCAAGAGAAACTGCTATCCCGACTTCTAACACCTGAGTTAACTATGCTTGTTTCTTGTGCTTTATATAAATGGACTGGCACAGTCAGTAAGAATTCTTTGCATGTGGTTTCTTTCACTCACCATTATTTTTGTGAGATTCATTTATGTCGTTCTGTGTCATTTTAGATGTTTCATTCTCATGACTGTTTCATATTGTGTTGTCTAAATAGACCACAATTTATTCATCTCTCCATCTTCCTGTTGATGGACATTTGGGTTGTTTTCAATTTGGGGCTATTGTGAATAGTGTTTCTAACAACATTCTCATACATATCCTTTGATTGACATATATACATGTTTCTATTGGGTATATAACTACAAGTGGAATTGCTAGAACATGACTATATGCTTATAGTCATCCTAAGCAGATGTGGCCAAAGAGTTACTCAAACTACCAGTGTGTGAGAGTTCCAGTTGCTTTGAATCCTACCCATCCTTTCAAGTTTTCTGTCTTTTTTAACTTCAGCCATTCTGGTGGATTTTAATTTGTGTATGGTTTAAATTTGCATTCCACTCATGACATTGAGCACATTTTCAAGTGTTTATTGGCCATTTAGATAATGTCTTTGAATTTATCTTTTGCAAGATATGGTTTGTTCACATCTTTTGCCAGTTTCTACCAGATCATCCTGTTTTATTTTCTTGTTGATTTATAGGAATTCTTTATACATTCTGTATAAAAGTCTTTTGTTGGATATGTGTATTGCAAATATTCGTCCTTTCTGTGGGTTGCGTTTTAACTCCCTTTATGGTGTCTTTTGATGAATGGAAATTTGTAATTGTAATATAGTCCAATTTAATCAATTCTTTTCATTATGGCAAGTTCTTTTGTATTGTTTCTAAAAACATTTTGCCTGTCCAAGGTCATGACAACATTCTGGTTTTTTTTTTGTTTGTTTGTTTTGTTTTTTTTACAAAAAGCTCTATTATTTTGCCTTTCATACTTAGATCTGCATTCATTTGGAATCGATTTTTGTGTAAGATGTGAAGGGGAGATACATGGCATATTGATAGCCATTTGGCCAAGAACCACTTATTGAAAAGACCATTCTTTCTCCATTGCCCTGCAAAGCCACCTTTGTCACAGATCAGTTAACCATATGCACGTGTGATCAGAATTAATGTGGGATATATTTGATGGTGGAGGGGGAGAAGGGAAGGTATTAATGCTTACATACTTCAAAATGTTTTTAAAATGTATACTTCCCAACTGCATCCCCTTATTCATATCTGCAACCAGTGCTCATAAACAAGATGATAGATGGATTCAAGAATTTGTATCCATCTCCCAGTGCAAACTCCTCCTTTTCCTGCATTGGATGGAAAAATTGTTGAAACCATCCTACCATAGAAATACCATGTAAACAAGCTCGAGTTAAAAACACCTGGCAACAACAAGCAAAGATAAGCAAAAGCCGAAAAATACTTCTCATTTATGAGAGAAATGAGGGAAGAAAAATGAAGTGAAGGAAAAAAAGTCCATATTATTTAACAATCAGCATAAATCACTTTGTGGACAATAAAACAAAACTTCTCTTGCCTCCTCCACCTGTCTTCATCATTTCTAAGTTTCTCTTACTTTAAAATCTACCCAGAGGAATATCAAGGACAAGAATCAGCCACCATCAGCACAAGTGAAAAGGACGCCCGGGAGCACTGGAGGGACATAAGAAGCCCAAAGCACAGGAATGTATTTAGCTTCTTAACATTGAAAGCCTTTGCTTAGAAATCAAAGAGTTTGGTTTAAATCATCCTCAGCCTCAGAAAGATAGAAGGAAAATCATCTGTGACAGGTAATTGTCCAAAGCAGAACATTTAAGAAAAGACCAACAACATTTTCTGCATGAAAAGTGCTTCCTGATCAGGTTTGAATATTCCAAACCCATTTGCTCCAATCTTAGCCTATAGTAGAACTGCTGACAATTTTATTCTTTCTTCCTCAAAATGGATAATGAAGATTGATCACCCTGTGAGCTGAGCCTTTTCTTTTTTTCCTTTAACTGCAGTATGACATGTCAAATGAACCAGTTTTTCATTTTCTCTCTTGTAGAAGTATAAACCATGGAAGTTTAATACCTGAGAAAGGAATAACCAAGAAACTTGGTTAAAGGACCTTCCTTTAACAGATCAGCCCCATCCATTAACAAATGGGAAACCAGAGGCCAAAAAGATGGCAGGGCTTGCTCAAGGTCCTGCAGGGATAATGAGGAAGCTGGAGGTGCAGTACAGGCTCCCAATTCTCCAGCACATTCACTTTATCGGGTGCATTCATCTAGTTTGTATTCCCAAGGCTGGCATCAGGCAGCAAAATTTCAGTCTTGGGAGATCTCTGTGTATCTGTTACCCGTTGCCAAAAAACCAACTGCCCTGGTATAAATCAGCAACCATGGTTTGTATTTTTATGTCTCTCGTGGTTTTGGAGATGCACTGGGCTCGGGTGGGTAGTGCTCAGTCAGGATTCGCTCTTGCGGTTGCAGTCAGATGGCGGCTGGGGCCAGAGTCCTCTTGACGTCTTCCTCACTCAGGTGTCTAAGAATGGATGCTGTTGGACTCTGCAACCTCAGCAGGACCAGTCAGCCAGAACACCTATTAAATACAGGTGGCTTTTCCACCTGGCCGGGGCTTCATCACAACACAGGGTCTGGGTTTCAAGAGCAAGTGTCCCAGGAGAAACCTGGCAAAATTTGCATCACCCTTTATGGCCCAGCATCAGGAGTCACTGAGCATCACTGGCAGTATAGTCAAAGCACATGCCAGATTTAAGCAGAAGAAACATAGACCTTATGTTGTTACTGAAAAACTCAGCACTTGTCCTTGAGGCCGCATCAGAAGAATGAGAAAAATTGGTTTGGGAAGGAGGAAACAATATTTTTGTATTTTCCAGCAAAGGAGGAAAAATGGCAGACCATCTTGTCTCAAAATCCAGATTTCCTGAACATAGGCAGAAATACAGAACTTTTAAAGGGAGGGCCCCTCAGTTCTAGCCTGTTGTGGTTAACTATTCAAATCACCCCATCTTTGCCAAAAACAAAGCCTGTAAACTCTGCCAACTGCCCACCGTTGGGGGCTGGTGCTGCCTGGGATAAGAACTAACGGGCTTCTTCCTGCTCCTCCCAACCACTGGCCTGAGGCAGGGATGTAGGTTTCAGTCCTCAGAAAGGTGGGGGAAGTTTCAAAGAGACAGAAAATGTTTTTGCATTTTTTTTTCAGACCATTCCCTGTTACAATGTCTGCATGGGAAGAGTATAAGAAGAGCATGTGGGATGGAAGATAGTATTGTGGCCTTTGTGGAAGATGCAATCCGCCAACACTATGGTATCATGAAGAATATATCTGGGCTTTGTCCCCAGTTTCTCCCACTAGAGCTTTAAAAACCTTTGGAATTTCCCGTGATAGGAGTGTCTTTGTTATACTAACAAGGTGACTCATGGTAGGATCTTAGTGTCAGGGTGGGAGCCGGTTGGAACTTTGGGCAGCTTTGCCTCTGGGAAAAGGTGAAGGGCTGAAGATTGAGTTCAGTCACATACCAATGATTCAGTCGATCATGATCAAATAATGAAGACCCAATAAAAACTATGGACACTGAGACCCAGTGGCGCTTTCCAGTTGGTGTACACCTCAGTGCTCTGGGAGGGTGATGCATCCAGATTCCACAAGGGAAGAGCTTAGAAGCTCTGTGTCTCCTCCTCCTCCAGACCTTGCCCTGTGCATTTCTTCATTTGGCTACTTCTGATCATATCCCTTATAATAAAACTGTGATCATAAGTACAGCAGTTTCCTGAGTTCTGGAAAGCATTCTAGCAAATTATCAAACCCAAGGGTGTCATGGGAACCCCTGAATTTATAACCAGCCATTCAGAAGTGCAGGTATCCTGGGTCCCCTGCTTGCAGCTGATGTACGAAGTGGGGGCAGTTTTGTGGAGGAATAGCCCCTAACCTATGGGGTCTGCATTAACTCTGGTTAATTAGTGTTAGAACTGAATTGTAGGACACTCAGTTGGTGCCACAGGATTGGTGTCAGAACACTCAGGCTCTGGGATATTGGTTCTTCTTCAGTTACCAAGTCTTCTTTTTGTATTCGTGTTATTCTCACTTGTCTTAAAGGAGAATTTTATGCATGTGGTGCCCACTCCAGAAGCTGGAGACAGCTTACAGGTATTACAAAAAGCTCAGAGAGCATTGTGTTTTTGTCTCCAAAGCTCTTTCTTTTCCATTTTCTCCCTATACCAAAGATACCCAGTGAACATTTGTCATTTCCACTCCAGAGGATTTCCTATCCTGTCTTAAGTTTTGGGATCATGAAGGCTTGGGCAGCACTGATTTCTGACAGGTCAGAGTGCTCTGCTCTGATAGAGATAATTACAGCAGCATCTCCAGGACTCAGTCCTTCAATATTTTTTTCTTTTCTACCTCTCTTTTCTCCTTAGTTGGTTTCATCCTGTATCATGGATTTAAGTACCAGCTGTCTACTCCCAGCTGGATGTCTTCTCTGAACTCCAGATTTTTATACTCAATTCACTTGCCCAGTCACATCTCCTCTTACATGTTTACTACTAATCTCAGACACTTAACATGTACAAAACTAAGCTCATGCAGGTTTCCCCAAATCCTGTACCTCCCACAGTTTTCCCAGTCTCAGTTAGTGGTACCTTTATCCTTCTAGTTGCCCAGCTGTCATTCTTAATTCTCCTTCTTTTATATCCCATGCATTATCCATCAGCAAATTCTAAAATATTCCAAATTCCAACTATTTCTCTCTATCCTCACTGCCACCGTGGGGTCCATCCCACCATTATTTGTGGACTAAACTATTGCAAAGTCCTCCTAATTGGTCTTCTCACATCCACCCCTATCTCATCCCACTGTCTGTTCTCAACACAGAGGGCAAAGAGATTCTATTAAAAATAATTAAGAAAAAATAAATATGTTAGATCATGTCACTTCTCAGTGTAAACCCTCCAGTGGTACCCCATCCCCTTCAGAGTAAAAGACAAAGTTCTTAATAAAACCTACACAGCTGTGAGACCCAGCTCCATTACCACTCTAATTCCATTTCCCAAGTCACCCTGTCACTCACTACATTAAAATCACAGTCCTTGCCTTCCTGTTCCTCCAACAAACCACACACACTCCCACCTGAAGGCTATTGTACTCGCTGTTCTCTTTGCCTGGAATTTCACTCCTCTTAGTAACCACATGGCTCACCCCTTGCTTAATTCAGATCACTACTCAATATTCTGCTTTTCAGTAAGACTGCCACTGGTCACCTTATTTAAAACTTCAAACTTCTTCCTTTCTAGATATTTATTTTTCTCTTTCCTGCTGAGTTTTTCTCCTTAGCTTGTAAAACTCTCTAACGTACAATATATTTTATTTATTCGATACCAAATTTGGAGCCAAATCAAATAATTTAAGCAATTTAGAAGTTTGGGAAAGAGAGAGATTTATAATATCCAGGAAAGACTTCATGGAACAGGAGGATTTGAGTTGACTTTTGAGGAAATGGGAGGGGGTGTTGAATAGTCAGTGAGAAGTGTAGGAGTGAAAACTGGTCATGGCAGACACTCCTATAACAAAATGAAAGCAAGAGAAAAGCATAACAAATTTATTCAATCTAAGTTTTACATGACATGGAGCCTTTAGATATGAAGAGGCAAAGACAACAGGAAAACTATGTACTTTTATGGTAAGTGTAATGAAAGAGGTGGATTGCCAGGCACAGTGGTGCACATCTGTAATCCTAGCACTTTGGGAGGCCAAGGTGGGAGAATCAATTGAGAGCAGGAGTTCAAGATCAGCCTGAACAACATAACAAGACCCCATCTCTACCAAAAAATTTAAAAATTAGCTGGGCATGGTTTCACACACTTGTAGTCCCAGGTACTCAGGAGGCTGAGGCAGGAGGATCACTTGAGCTCAGAAGTTTGAGATTGCATGGGGCTATAATGACACCACTGCATTCCAGCCCTGGCAACAGAGGGAGACCCTGTGTCAAAAAAAAAAAACAAAACAAAACACAGGATAGTTATGGAAAAACATGATTGGACAAAAAGAGTATTGTCTAATGATAATAACCTGAAGTGGAGTCCAGCAAAGTCTGTGTGTTCAGATTCTTCTTGTTTCTCTATGTAGCATTTCTTTTCTCTAGGATAGTGCAGGACACCTGTCACATCAGGTTCTTATGACCCATTTCCAGGAAAGGTAGGTCAGAGAGTCGCTTTTTAGGTTTTATGGCTTGCTTTGGGGGAGAATAAAGGGCTAGAAACAGGATGACAAGGAGAAGTTCAGAGGAATCATCTTGCTTCTGAGGATCTCCTATCTCCATCAGCTCAAAACTACTTGCCATGCCAAAGGATCACAATGCTTTGGGGTATTGTGTTCTAAGCCCTGATAGGAGAAAGGAGAGTATTCCACAAGAACAAAGATGTAAGCTATTTTCTAGATATTTGTTGATGCAAAAAGTCTAATCTCAGGAAGCAGGGCATTGCAGTATCTTTTTATTTTATGGCACTTCCTTGAATACAAGAACTTTTTACTGTGTTCTCA